TCTGCTCTCTTTGTTGAACTTCCTCTCCAGCTATTGTAGTCGGTGGCCGAACTGCTCCAATTGTGTCTTGGTGTCGTTGCTTTCTCCGCTGAGTGCAGTCATAGTAGACGTTGTGGTTGATAGTGGCGGCTCTTGTGATCGTTGTCTATGAGCTTCCTCTTCTCGTCGTTTGCCCTTCTTAGAGTACGGGCAGTTTCTTGCTATATGACCATCCATACTGCAGCCGAAGCACTTTATTCTGACCCCGCTTCTTGCTCCAATGGGTGAACTGTTCTGAGTATAGGTTGTCGATGGGGTAGAGGGTGGTCCACAGGATAGGTGTGATTGAGTTGCTTGGCGCACTGGTCCTCTGTCAGTTCCCCACTAGTTTCTGTGTCTTTGCTTCCTTGAAGCGTTCTTCAAGAGCACCTCATCCGGTATGGATGAATTTAAGTTTATGGTCAGGCCAAGTCCACAAACCGATTCTCCAAAAGGTTCGGCTTTGCTGGTTACTCAATCCTGCGTAGGCCAGGTTGTAGAGTTTCTGTATATAAGTCTTGGAAAACTGGTCCATGGTACCTTTCTCTTGCTGTTGTCTGTTATGAAAAAGCTGAGCTTGGACAGCTGTCATTTGGATGGGTGTAAATCTCCTCTTCATGGCGGCCACCAGCAGTGTGTACTTACAACGCATCGCAAGTACACAGCAAGACCATTGCACCTGCAAATTTGACATCAAATGCATAAGCTTCCAGTGGTCGTTCCAGCTGGCTAACTTTCGAAGTATGCCACTCCGCAAATGAATCTCCTGTCGCACGGCCTTCTCGTGTAAAACTGGGTATCTGGTGTATGTCTGCTCCATTCATTGGTAATGAACATGGTGGTGAGTAGCTGTAGTCCAAGCTGGTAGTGGTGCATTGTTTTCAGGTGTCGAGGTGGTGATCGCGGTAGTTGCAGCAGGTGTCATTGTAGTCCTTGGCTCATAAAGTATATAGAAGGGAGTGAGGACCTGGCATGTGGTCTACACTGTTGGGGGGGATGTTTGGATGAGTATTGTGTCCTGTAGGGCCAGCACTCTCACTGCCAGTAGTATTAGATGCAAGCATGTGTTACGCACCAGCACAGTTGATAAATTACGCTATAGAATTGACGTAACTAAACACTAAAATAGCCGATTATGCTTGCATCATGCTTGATGCTTTCGCCTACCTGCCTACCTACTATGCCTGTTTCATAATTAGTTCATGCCTACTTAGCAGCTACTTATCTGTCCCCAAGTTTGTGGGGACACCTGCACAACTTCACTATGGCAATGTAAGACCCTCTCTCCTCGCGTGAGGGTCCGGTTTGCGAGACTAGGTGTTGGTCTCTCTCGATTGTGAGTTGTGACTGCATTGTGTGCAGTCTAAGACTTCCATGTTCACTAGCTGACCAGTTTTACAATAATACTCTGCATTCTTCATTCATGATACAGACTCATGTTTTGAATAAAAGTGGTGACCATGGCTTGTGAAGAGGAAATTTACACCAGCAAGATATTTCAGCTTGAAATATGTATATACCATCCCTATGCATGATCACCATTTAATTTACTTGTGTATATAAAGTTTACATGGCTCTTACCATTTGTTACTTGCACAAGTGTGCCCTTTACAGTGTATTATGCCTTGTTGTTGTTTACAGAAAACAATGTGGCTTATATAGGAACACATAAATGACCAGTTTCTTATGGTGGTGGATATCATGACTTATGTTGTTTCATTTTCTGAGTTTTGGGTGTTAAATCTGAAGAACATGAAAAACTATCATAACCTACACCATAAAACCTTAGATTCTACCCCATACGAATAAGGGATGCCTCTGAATAAAGGAAACTTTCAATGTCCCAAAAGTGCCCCATACTCAGAGGTTTCATTGCACATCTTCTACAATCCTATGGTACCTAGCTATCACCATAATGTATGGTGTTACGATAAGGAATTAAGTTCATCTTTTTCTCCTTCTTGAGATTCGACACCCATAAAAAAAATTATAATGATTTATTCATCACCAGTAAGAAGGAAAAGGAACGCACAACACCTCTCGCTCTCAGCCACGAGACCAGAGCGAATAGTGCTCACAAGACAAGCGCTCACATAAATGCACATTGCAAATCGGGCATCATACACGGATGTAATTATAATTCAACATTCTGGCAACACCTTATTCATTATTCAAATTCAAGTCCATTCTCTTTCAAAGCTTTTCCAATTGTTTTATCAAAATTCTTGCTTTGTTCCTCGGTATAGTAATTTTTCCAGTCCCCAACTACTCCTTTCCTCAAGTATTCAATTGTAAAACTTGCTCCTTCCCTCTTTACGTTGTTTACTGCTTTATTTTTGGACATGTTAAAAAATGTTGACTCTTCCACTACTCTCTCCACCAACTCATTTGTAAGAGGTTCAATTCCAATAAATTTGGCTATTTTGACAATGGTTTTATGAGGCTCTTTCTTGAGGTCCTCATACTTGAGGAATAGGATATTAGATTCATCCCTGTGCTTCCACCATCCAATCACATGGTTTAACCAACCCCCAAAAGCACCTGTTACTCCTTTTTGCTCCAGGAATTCACCCAAAAATTTATCCCAAGAACGTGATTCAACACCGATAAACTTTTTTAATTGGGTTTGTGAAAAATACCATTCAGAGACACTCGTGTCCTTTGGATTTCGAGCCAGATAGATGTATTTTACTTTGGTAGTGTGGGGAAAGCCGCCAGGTGTTAACTCATAGGGTAGGTGGACCTTAAACATCCTTGGAGAGGGCAATTCTTCTACTGTAGTGGGAGGTAGTTTGAATACCTTTCTAATTTCGGAATTAACTGCTTCCAGCCATGGAACCGCTACATCCAAACTTTCCCCATTATCTCTGCCCCCGTTGCGCAAAAGCCTGAGTATGTGCCGCACCCAAGTTGAACCAGATCTTGGGTAAGACGATAGAATAATATCATCGGATCGCAGGTTAAATACTTTCAGTTTTTCCAAACTTTCGCGAGTCATAATCGGAATTGGCACGCCTTCAAGATGATTAAGGAGATTAATGGACATAGCTGGCTAGCTGCTGTAGTGGCGAGCGACAAGGTTTTAAAAGAGGCACAGGTAACTTACCCCTGCTTAGATATGCTTGCAGTGGGTTAATCGCACGTTATCAGTGCAGTCTGGCGTTGGAGCACTCTCACTTCAGTTCACTTTTAGTCTCTGTCCCGGACAATTGTGCGTGGCGCCGGGTGCGGGGGGGGATCCGACACGGGTTGAAATCTTGTACGTCAGAAATCCATACAAATCAGTCGAAATCATCAGTTGGGAAATCAGCGAAAAGTGGAAATCAGAAATGAAGTTGCGCGGCTTTTCTGCTCTGTATAGCTCCGTTCACTATAGTAAACTACAAGTCCCGGTCCGCTGCGGCGCACGGGAGCCGCGATATCCGGCCGGCCGGCCACAACACACCGCGACGACCCTGTCCCCATCGAGAAGGAGTATAGGTGAACTGCATTTTTGGCGAGCGGGAGCGATCTAACGATTGTGTGCATGCGCAAAAAAAAGTTGTTTAGTTGTTCATATCAATGTCAGTACAAATGCATAAAGGTAAGCTCAGTCCATCTCCACTGAGACGATGATACTGTCTCTGTATGTGATTGTAGCAGGTTTGCAGCCGAGTAACAGCTGTGGAGTAACCTGATTACGTCTTGTGGTGGCTCTTAGGACGTCGTCGAATGCACTCAGGTTTAGATAACTGTCACCATGCTCAATGTATAGTCGTGCTGAAACCTTGTCTTTACATTGTAGTAGAGCTAGGCGAGCCTCTCTCCCCTCGCTGGACTCGACGGAAATCCGCCTTGTATCCATGATAGCTTCGGATCTGTTGGACTGTTGCATTTCCTCTGATTCCGCAGCACGTCTAGTTCTTGCCCATATACGATTCTCGCTTGTCGTGCTTCCCTTTCTTCCGCTGTTTCCGTAGCCAGGCGTTACCTTGCCCGTTCCCTATCACGCAATCGCCGTCGGGAAAGACGAACCTCTCTTTGCTCAGAAGCTTCACTGGCACGACGTTCCCTTTCTCTTTCTCGTCGACGATGAAGGGCATCTTCTCCAGACTGATCCATCGCAGAATCGATGATGCTGAGCTTGCTAAGTTAGCCTATAGCGCAGCAGCGTGTGAAAGGTTTTCGGATAAAAAGCGCGTACGCATGCGCAGTTGGACGACGTAAGACGACGAATTGGCGAGGGACCTAGTCGATCGAGTGGAAATGTTGAACATTGTTGGCGAGCGGGAGCGACCCAACTTGGGATTTTGCTGCGATGTTATAACGTGCCGTCAGCGCACAGCTTTCCTTTCGTGAAGCAAGACAGATCTACCTGTCGCTGTTACATGCGTCTGTATATTTGCCAGAACGGTGAGCAGGTGAGCAGAACGGTACTTACGTAGCTCCCGCTTGCCAATAAAGAAAATCGCGCCGTTGGAACCACTAGGTTAGCTCGCTCCAATTATTTTCCTGAAACGACTGCGTTCCAGAGATATGTCGTGAAAACAAGCGATGTGCATAATCGTTCTGGCAATACCTCGACCTGATCCGCTCGCTCTGTTTACCTTGGAGGCACAAGAAGTCACAACGATGGGCGTGTATCGACTCCCGCATGTTATCTAGCCCGTGTCAGACTCGGTACCGCGCTTGCACAGTGCGCCGAGGGGTTGCACTGCTTTTCATGCTCCTCTTCGGACTTAAGAAATCTCATCATTTGCAGCCACAGACAAAGGAATACTCACCTGCACCATTGCTGACGATAATGTATCCCTCAATGACATGTGGGAGACTATGCAGTTGATCTATGCTTCATCTGCAACTTTACTGTGTTCAGTATAATATACGTCTCATAAGTCTCAAATCCCATTGCTAAGGATGTGACGTCATGAAGAGGACGATGCCTATATAGAAAGCTCATTTCCGTGCGCGCGCGGATAAGAGGGCGTGACGCATCACAGCGGAACGCTGACTGGAACTGTTGTTGGTCTAGGTCGGAGGAGCTATGAGTGGCGATCCCGAGCTGCAAGCACTTTTCGACAGTCTGGACTCCAAAAATCCAATGGACTCCAAAAGTGATGAAGAATTGGATGAATTTCTTAATGATTTTATAGGTGCTTCAAGCGGCCCTCCAAAGGTAGGTAGCTAAAGCAGTTTGTTATTCTTTTATGCTGATAGCTATTTTGCTGCAGATGTCAGATTCCCAGAAAGAGCTCGACGAACTTTTGAAAAGCATGCTTAGTGATAGTCCAGCTGATCAGAAAGCTGCTGGCCCAGAAGTGAGTCCGATGCAAAAACACTATCACAACAGTATAATACTCGTGTCTGATACAGAAGGAGACGGCGATATCTGGACCTACTGAATCTGAACCTTCTCCAACCACTCCTGTTGAACAACTGCCATCACATTTGCCAGTTGTGCCTGAGACTGGTGGACAGGTTTGCAAGACAAGTTATGATCAATACTGAGTCCCCTTTGCATTAGAGACAGGGTGCCACAAAGCAACCTGTGGGTTCCAGTGAAACCTGTGTTGACATAACGGTGTTATCGTGTTGCATTATAGGCTTGACATAACGATTCACATAGCATGCATACAACAGCATGGTTGTGTACCTCTATATTATTATAAGGAGGAAGAAGTTGCAGAGGTTTCTGAGTCAAAGGCTCAACCAGAAAGTTCAACTGAAAAATCACCAAAGCCGACCAGGGAGAAACCATTGGTTGAGGATCCAGATGGAAAGGTGGGTGAGTGGGCTTGTTGGGGTGGATTCTACAGCTTTCATAATCTTATGGCAGTGCAGTAGCTATACATTGCAAATTATATTTGCAGTGGCGTATGTCACGGATGTTCCGGGACACAACCTTCAGTGTATATAGTAATTTCCAAAAGCAGCAACCAGGTCATGAAGTCAAATATAATTATAGTAAAACTCTAAGAGTGGTGACAAGTAGCTACACTTGGGAATTCCATGTGTAGTGTCACCTACTGAGTAGAGTGAGTTGGTATTGTGTTGGTACTCATTCCTGACAATGAATGAAAGTCCCACTTCAGATAGCTACCTATCTACAAGGTTCCTGCATGACCTCAATTATACTTACATGTCATGGTTTTAGCTACACACAGGAGAGCCTCACAAACAAGTTGCATGAGATAGTGAAGCTGCACAATATACCATCTTTCTCGTGTCATCATAATTTATTTCATAGGCCATTACATATCATTTTATATTACAGTAGGTATCTGGAGCTATGCACACCATGCAGCCAACCTAAGGCATTAGAAACTCAGTGCATTAATACTTGTCACTCCCAAAACTCTAGAAAAATATCAAAAAGCATACCTCATCCTCATCAAAGCGAAGTCGTATTTCCTACTATAGGTTCCCTGGACCAGAGTTCATAGAGTTCACAATTTTGATTATATGAATTCCTTTCCTTAGAGTTCATAGAGTTCACAATTTTGATTATATGCATTCCTTTCCGTACAGTTGCAGCATTACTATGAGGCCATAGTAGAAAAGGTTCCGCCGGAAGTAGCCCACATAGTTGTGTGGGAGGGAGCTGCAAAGAACAGGAAGATCATGAGCACTATGAATGATATAGTGGATGAAGAGAGTAATTTCCTGGTAATGAATACAGAGTATAGCAATTGAACTATGGACTAACTTGATGATAACCACACACAAACCATGCTAACTAATGCATTTCATCTTTCATGCAAGCATATCTCTTTAAACAATTTCGTGTTGCTGAATTGTTTCTTTTCACAGTTGGAATATGAAGCTGGACGTGTTGCTAAGCTCTTTGCAGGACAGCTGGGGTCTCACAAGAAGATAGAGAAAGAGTTTGTACCAGCACTGAAAGCTTTTGCCACGTGTGGCTGGGAACCCTTCGAACAAGTAGCTAGTTACATGCTGGCAATGCTCCTGGTCAGGGTGCAGAAAAGAGGAGTAACTCTTGTCACTGCTGCCCTCCCACAAAATGTGAGTTTCAGAAAGCTTGGCTACTCGTGGTACTTAAAACATGTTTACTAATGCTTTGTTAAAACGTGAGATAGGTCAGTAGGTCTCGTGTTATCCGTGCACAAAACACTTACAAACTCGGCAAGAATGCCTAGCCAAGCCACCAGCAATGACTCGCAAGCCCATATCTAGCTACCCAAGTGTAGCTATCTCTCCAGCCACATGTCTATAAGCCCGCCCCTGGTATGCTTTATTAGACTAAGGCCAACTTGCATAGAGCATGCACAACAGCTTGTGTGCTACAATTAATATAATATTGTTACAGTAGGCTTGATTTGAAGATCTTGTTATAAGCTGCGTGATTAAATACAGGAGCATTAAAGGATCTGCCAAGAGAGAAAGTTCTGCATTCCTTGTTTTTTTGGTGCTAGGCATTCACTTTGATGAGTAAGTAATGCCCCCTAGCATGTGGAGTTTTGGGAGTGTTAAACTACCACGTAGTAGGCAAACAGAAGACTGAGGGCACTTCCTGCATGTGTGGAAGGGGCTTAGCCCATTATGTAATGGACTATGCACCATGTAGTCAACTAAGGTGTTTGAAACTCAGTCTTCTGTTTACCTACTACGTGGTAGTTTAGCACTCCCACAACTCCACATGTCTACAATGCATTAGGATTCCCTTCCAGCATGTGTGGAGCCCATTATGTAATGGACTATTCACCATGCAGTCAACTAGGGTGTTGGTAACTGACAAAGTCTTCTGTGTGCCTATTACGTGTGTAGTGTATCACTCCCAAAACTCCACAAAACTGCCAGGGGGCTTACTTATTTCTTACTCATCTAAGTGAATGCCACAAAACCAGGAATGCAGAAATGTTACCTATCTCTTGACAGATCCTTAATGCACGTACAACATCTGCAAATCAAGCCTACTGTAACAAATATATTGTAGCACACAAGCTGTTGTGCACGATCTATGCAAGTTGGCCTTAGTCTAGATCTGATAAAGCATACCAGCCAATGCAGCAACCACATGTCAAACCTGAGCAAGCTAAAACATATGCCTGCATGTGATATTACCTAGCTAAAGCTAGACTCTCCATAGAGTATAATTGCTGTGGTGTAAGTGATGTTTTTGGTATTTTTAGGTTTTCTACCGTGTATTGGGAGATGCTGTCACAAAGATATCGGAAAATGACAATTGGCCAAAATTTGTCGTGAAGATGCCAAAACCTGACACAGTTTTGTCTCCTAAACAATTTACTGGCTTTCTTGTCCAAGATGTTGCTAATATCAGTACAGCAGACACCAGAATAAACTGGCTTTTCATCCTCGCCTATTCTGTAAGTTGCAAACTGTTTTTCCAAATTAGTGATGCTGAAGAGAAAGTGGCGGAGCTCCCACCTGTTTTAGCAAGAGAATACCACACTCTTTCATCGTTGCTTCGTCAGAGTTATAAAGACTGCCAGTAAGGCAGCATTTGTGGTTCTAACTACTTGAGTCGTCCCCACAAAGCTTTGCCATGAACGAGGGACCAAAAATAACATACACATAACAGTAGATAACATTCGTCGATGGGGGGGGGGAGATAAATTGCTTAAATTGAATATTGAATCAACTAGCTACAGTGAGAAGGGAGGGCTACTTACAAAGAAAAATGTGTGAGTCTGTGAAAATGCAGTTCAATAAGCAGTGCATGAGCTTGCCCTGCTAACTGTAATAAAGATGGCAGGTGCTCTTACGAAAATGCTTTTCAGGGTGAGGACATTCATGAGGAGGTGGTGAGCGGACTGAGCGAAGAATTCCCATGGGCCAGTATGTTGGAAGAGCTGTCTTCACTCATTGACAACAAGGAGTTCTATGACCAGATTCTGGTCAAGAAGGCAGGAGTGAGAGCTGTCAGGATATGGGGAGACACCACTGTTTTAGAGGAGAGGAAAGACACTCTGAAAAAACTGAAGATAGAGATTGGTCACAAAGAGGTAACCACATATACAAATGGGTTTACAGATAATATAGCTTTGGTCTATGCTCAGTTAGAAAAGGTTCTGGAGCTGATACTGAGCACTGCCACATTCCCAGTGGAGGACATAGAAAGTGACCCTGACCAGCCATGTCTACTGGTAACTTGCCCCACCATTCAGTTGGCCGTCAAACTCATTCAACACACGGTGAAAACTCTGGGCAAGATTGATGCTGAGTCCGCTATCAGGGACCTTGTTAAGCAAGGGATTGAAGACCAACGAGTGAGTGTCATTGAGCAGATGAACATGGTTTTAAAAATACATATCTGCATATTATTTTTATGTCTACAGCTGGCAGCAGTGGCGAGGGAAATGTCAAGACTAAATGTGATTGATGAGGAGCAGGTCGAGGACGTGATATATAGCTGCTCCTCTGAAGGCCTTCTTCAGAGCTGTGCTGAGCTGCTTCGAATTGCCCCCAACCCTCGCTCTCACCCAATCATGGAAATATTGGAGGTTTAACTGACAAAATGAATACAGTGGGGAAACCTCCGATTAGGGACCCTCTGAGATAGAGAGAACTCTGAGGAGAGGAGAGGACAAAGGACTCAACCCCATGCAAATACTTTAGTGTATTAATTGACCTCTTTACAAGGGATAAAATAATTGGCCTCATAGTGTCCACTATCCAGATATTCCACTGTAGCAGTAAAACAGGGATTACTCAATGTAGAGTACACATGCAGCCATAAACTACCTTAGACCTCACTATTTTGACAGTCTGTTATGCCAGTTTTTCTGCATCATATGTGTGTGCTACAACAGGAAAAGGATGAAAAGACCTGTTACAAGGCACTGGAACTCCTCAGCCCAGATCTCTATGCCCCAAACTGTAGCCCTGAAGATACAAATGCTCTTCACCTGGCTGCAACGTTTGGTTACACCACAGTCGTGAAGGAAATCCTCACTCGTGGTTTCCACCGGCTCTTGAATAAGCCAGGCAACCCTGCAGTCACGATCAATGACGTAAACAGGCAATCTGTCCGACCGGCCAGCATAGCAGTTCAGGCCACTCATTTTACGACTGCCAGTGAACTGTTTAAGGCCATGGAACCTGAGTAAGCATGTTACCGTTTTATAAAACCTTGAAGTAGGCTTAATATTAATAAAATGAGGGATGTATCAATGTGGCTTTGAGTATTTTGCTTGTTTATTTAACAGAGATGCAAAGATGCTCTGCACAGCGACTACTGATGTTCCAAACCCAGAGATCAACCTTCACAAGGTGATGGCGCAGATCAGCAGTGGAAGGGGAGGAAGGTGGAACAAGAAAGCTGTCGAGGAGGCAGATTGGAAAGACACTCCTGTTAAGCTTGAAAAGAAGGAGATACGAGATGTAGGTTGAATGAGCTAGAGCATATCGTATTTGATTAAGTCTGTTTATCTGCATGCAGAGGATTGAGTTCATGCAGACTGCCCTGGACACTACAGTTGATGGCCGTCGTGTAGATCTTACACTCTTGATTCAAGATGAGTGTGGAGCCATCCCGGGGCAGTTCAGTGGTGGTGGTGGTAGCGATGGACCTCCACCTGACCCTGAGGCAGCCAGGAAGAAAGCTGGGATCACACTCTATGACAAGATAGCTCGGAGTGAATGTGAAGTAAGGACACAATGGCGTATTATTCTCATGACATGCGGAGGATTAATGTGTCTGTTGTGTTAATTAGGAACTGAAGAGCCACGAGTGCTTTGCAACACTTACAAGTATTATCTGGATTGACTACGGAATTGTTCAAGGGTATGTGGGGTACTCAGCACTATTACATTATGGGAGTCACCTATTTCCCAACAGGATGCTCTTTGGTTTCTATCTTTTGTTCATGGCATTCCTAACAACATCTCTGGTGCTGGCAGCAAGAAATGGCGAACCTGGGCAGTACGACAGCCCTCTTGACCGGTTCCGCATCTTCTGTGAGGTGGTCACTCTGCTCTTTGTGTTCTATGATCTGGCTCTGGAGATTTACGAGCTGGGACAAGTCATGTTAGTCAAGCAATGCTTCCTATGTCACTACTTATATCCATTCTTCTACCAAATGCAGATACAGGAGTTTAAAGCAGCACTCAGTGTGTGTTTGCTGTAGCAGGGCACTGGGACGAGAAATAACTGAGACCACTGGGAATGACAGGGAAACGGGTGGCAAAAAAGACGGGGAGGGTGATAAAGACGATAAAGACAATGAAGAGGAAGAAGCGGAAGATGAAGATGATGAATTTGACTGGGACGAAGATGATGAAAGTCACGAGCCAGAGGAACCTAAGATCCACCCCTACATAGAAGTGTAAGCAATAATTTCCCACAGAAATTCAGCACTTGTGCCAGAACCTCCTTTAGGTGTGGCATTACTATGTAACCCACTCTGCTCTTGATAGCCCTCCTTTCTCTCTCAACTATAGCAAACACAACTATCCTTGGTGGCCTGAACTAATATCATGTTACAATATTTGTCTTTTTCAGGGTGAAAGACGTCATTTCCGGATACTTTCTGAACTGGCAGAATATGTTGGATGACTTGGCAATTCTCTTTGTTCTGCTGATAATCCCGTTCCGTATAGCTGATTCCCAAAACCAGTGGATATATGCTGCTCTGGCCTTTATGTTTCATGGGCTCAGGATCTTCAAATATGCCATCATGTTCAAGTAAGCTCATTTACCCAACTATTCCGGCTTGGTGTGTATTGCTGTGACGATCCCTTACAACCTACAATAAGAATGGCACACGTAACATTTCACATGATCCGTTAGAGCCCTGACAATTTGGTAGGTACATAATATCAAGCCGAATAAACACATCACACTAGCTTATACTTTTACTTTTCCCTCGCAATAATTGTCCTCCGGAAAAGCAGTGTATAAAATTGAGGTTCCCCTGCAGATCTGTGGGAGAATACGTGGCTATTCTGGTGCTGTTGATCAAGCGAGATGTCCCTCAGTTTGTGACCGTGTTCATGGTTATCATCTTCTCTCTGGGAGGAGCCCTGTACCTCTCTCTTGTTGGGTACTACAACGATGGAAACGTGGACACAGAGAACAACAATGAAACTAGGTACCATATATGCATATTATTGGTGATCCTTGTTGAGTACCACCACTTTCTGGCTACTTTTCCTTGTTGTAAACACACTACTGGTGATTTCTGGCTACTTTTCCTTGTTGTAAACACACTACTGGTGATTTCTGGCTACTTTTCCTTGTTGTAAACACACTACTGGTGATTTCTGGCTACTTTTCCTTGTTGTAAACACACTACTGGTGATTTATGGCTACTTTTCCTTGTTATAAACACACTACTGGTGATTTCTGGCTACTTTTCCTTGTTGTAAACACACTACTGGTGATTTCTGGCTACTTTTCCTTGTTGTAAACACAGTGAGATTTATCTTCTCTGGTGGACCGGCTTTCGTATCTTGGCAGAGGGAAGTGCCCTAACTTACTATGGACCAGGCGGATTCAAGTACGTTTCTTAACCCATTCTTTACGCATCTGGGTTAAAGAGATTATATTATTTCGTGCAGTTGGCTGGGTATCCTGATCTACTGGCTGTTCCTCTTCATTGTGGTGGTGGTCCTCCTAAACATCCTCATTGCTCAGTTTAGCAAGAGCTATGAGGAGGAGAAAGAGAGAGCTCAGATTAACGTCATCATCACTCGAACAGAGATCATACTCCGGATGGAGCAGTCTGCTCTCACACGTCCATGTGTCCGGGTGTGTTCACCAGCTACTCCCTTCATTTTAACTCCATAGTGCATATGTTCTTAAAGGGAATGTTGTGGTAGGGCTAAATTTAGAATGATAGCAAGAGCCAAGTACAAGAATGCAATTACATTCCATGTTTAGTAACCTTTTCTAAATTTAGCCCTTTTGTAATGTCACGTTGGCTTAAATATTGAAGGGGTTTTCCTTCCCACTGTTTGCAGATTGCGAGGAAGGTTAGAGCAAAGCTTACAAGAAACACAGTGGATTATCAGAGTGTTGAAAGACTGAAAGGTTTTGTAGGTTAGTTCAGCTTTGTTCAGGTTCAACTGCAGGGGTATCTTTATTTCTTGTTTCAGGAGAAAGAGAGAATGAAAAACCTGCTAGCTCTGAGCAGGTGGAAGAGTTGCAGACACAAACTACAAATCTTGGCCTACAGCTACGCAAGCAGATGGACGATAACACAGGTGTGTATTACATCTGGAGCAAGCATTCACGTTTCGCGGAATGGAATGGCCAGCCAAGTGGATCCATCATAGTACAATTCACCACAATACAATAGCTATGTACATCAAATAATTATAGAAGGCACCGCAGGTATGAAATGCCCTGTCTAATACTCTATGCATATGTGGTGTGGCAGTACTGTAAGAGGTGATATATAATGTTCCCTTACTAGGAAAAAGCCAACTCAAGGTGGAAGAAATAAAGGCAGAGATTGGGAATCTTGTTAGAGAGACAAGGTAGCTACATGCCAGCCACCAATAGCTATCTTCCGTATTATAATCCAAATTCTCCAGGGAAGCCCTTCAGACCATGAAAACTGAACTGGATGGTAAACTTGTTGGACTGGAGAGGGCAGTCATTGACACACGGTGTGTTTAGACATGATGTGTGTTAGCTAATAGCTAACTCTGTTACACTTTGCAGGCGATACGTGGATGACATAAAAGAACTGCTTCTGTCAATGAAAGATAAATGACAGAGTTTTCTAAAATATTGTATGTACAGGAACACTCACAGGCTTTTAATACTTGTTGTAAGTACTGTTACAGCAAAGGGTAGCGATATATACATACAACGATGTACACACTAAGGCCATTAAAATTATATATATACCGAGGCACTTTAGAAAGACTGCAAAGTCGAAACATTGTGTATTTTTGAAAGTGTGCGTGACGTCACTGCCAGAGTAATCTAGTGTTTCTGACTGCTATATCGCTTGGTTGCTGTTCTATAAACAATGATGATGGCCTGAGAAAGAGTGGCAGAGGCCCAGTAGTATTGTCTCCTCAGCAGCAGCAGCTTATGACATCTGTATACATAGTGGTGGTTAGATTATCAGACTCCTGCATGCACCACAACACATGTGGTAGCTATTTGTTGCTGGGATTATAAAATTCAGGAAGTAGCTAATAGCTTGCTGTCTATTTCAGTCAAGTATGGTGAAATCTTTTCACTGAAACAATGTCTGTATAGGAAAAGTTGGAAACTGCCTTGTAGCGCAGCATCGCTAAGTACCTTGCCCTTCTAGTTTTCTTGGCTCGTTATTTCATTGTCTTAATTTATGTGCATGTAGTGCAGAGGAGAAAGAGTTTTGATTTTGCACTATTATTCCTCCTTTCCTTAATTATGCTACACTACAACAATTAATGCCTCTGTGATGGACTAACCGGGTGTCAACCTCGCCCATTTTGAGTGCTTCCATGAAAACTGAACAGCTCACGCTATATATACATAGAAAGAAAAAAAGAAAGAAAACGGGACTTCAGAAGGGCTACAATTAACACACATATAACCATAAGGGCTTATTTTGGACTTGCAAAAACACGTGAGCTGGTGCACGATGGCGGTGAAACGACTACAACAGACAGACACGGACGGACACAGGCGGTATAAAAGTTATCAAAAGGTATCAAAATAATCTGCGATAATCATAATAAAATAAACTATACAAAAAGTATAAAAGGTTACTAACATCCATAGGAATAGCAGCACAAAAATAACGAGGTAAAACAATAGTGTAGGGCAGTACCATTAGAGAGGTCAGCTAGCAAGACCTAGGTATAAAGGGTGCTCCTTGCCATGTGGGTGTCCTATCAGTTCTGCATCATAGCAAGCACAGCCTTATGCAGGAGAGAGGGCATGGTGAAATGCCAAAGGTAAACCCCCGGGTGGGTGTTGAATGTTAGCTAATGAGATGTTCCGCACATTGCTTGTAGCAAAGTGCTTGCGATAGCCTCACTGCACTCGCTGCACACAAAACGTTTGTAGCTGGTAATGATGTGCTGAGTGCTGAGAGACTTGAATCAGTATATTATCCCTCCATTAGGATTTATAATCATGTGAATTGCCCACTTAAATTAACAATCCATGCCCTCTGTCTAAACATGTGATACGTGCTCTTACTGCATATGAGGGTCAGCGGCCAGGGCAAGGCTTTTCTAACAAAAAGTAATGTATGCACACAAAAATACAATTCTCTTACGTTCTATATACATTCATAGCACCACTGATAAGATTCAACCAAGTTCAAGAGTTGTTTCCGCAAATATTTTCTCAAGAGGCATTTTCGGAGGAACCCCCTTTGTATACATTCGAACTAGCTCCACCTCAGTGTTCCCAGAGAGCTCAGCTGCAATATCAAGGCCTTCTGGATTAAAACCACTACCATAAGGTATGTCCACAGTTAGAGTTGCTGTAGGATCTTGAGCTGCGACCCTGTCAATCATAGTGCGATAAAGATTTCTGGCAATTGTGGAATTGTTGGCAAACACTGGGCCTATTCTCCAGCCATCCTCTTTCCTAAATGCACTACGGATAACAGCATACCCCTCTACTTGTCCCTCTTGGTTGATTGCTGCGTAGCTATGACAATTTGGGGCGGAGATCCACTTCTCTAGAAATGACGGGCGGGCATATAGATACACAGATGTGTCATACTCTAATAATTCTTTAAACGGAACTTCAACTGCAGGTTTAATTACCACTCCATTAGGGACTAAGCGCTGCAACAGTTCTTTGGATACTTTGAAAGTGGTGCGTTTGATTCTCCACTCTGGCTTAAAACCATGAGGCCGGTACATTGGTATCATTTCGTCCACTGCGTTGAGTGCACAATTACAGCCCTCTGGTATTGAGCGAAATGAATAATTCCAAGTAGCTAGCCCATACCCCTTCCCACGGTATGGTTTGTCTACGATGTATTGGCCTACAAAAGCATAATCTTTGGAGTATTTCACGACAGAAATACAGCTGATAACCTTTCCGTCTAATTCTCCCGCATAAAATCCCGACTTATCGGTTGGAAAAAAGCTTACATGATCAAGAGCCCCAGGTCTCCACCCGACTTCAACCTCTTTCGGGAGGAACACTGCAGCTACCTCTTCTGCCGAGCAGATCTGCCGCACCCTGAAGGCCATAGTATTTAATGAAGGGGCGTGGCCAGAATTGAATCGACCTTTGCACTTAGAGCGGTGTGCGCATGCGTCAGTTTCGGTACTTTACAGGCGCTCTGGGTCTGGGGTTTTCTTCCTGGCGCTGTACTGTCTAATTGACGCAGCGAGGGTTGTTCTGTCTGTCTGTCTGTCTGTCTGTCTGTGTGTCCGCGCGAGTTCTAGCACTACAGGCTACGAGGCGGCCAATGAGTGGCACCAGCGGGTTGTGAACGACGAGAAGATTGATACTAATGTGGCAATTTTCCCGAAACGACTGCGTTCCAGAGATATGGCGTGAAAACAAGCGAAAAAGCTTACGCAAGCGATTCATCGCGCACGCGCGTATGTGGGTGTACCGTTTTGCCTGAGCATCTGACGCGAACGATCCATCGCGCACGCGCGTATGTCGTTTGCCGGAGCATGCGCATCTGCTACATTCCGCGTGGTTATTTCAGTTGACCTTGGACGAGCAAGAGTTTCTCTCCTCAGTCATTGTTGATCTTTGTTCTCGATGGACAACAAACTGAGCAAGGTATATATTATGTCCGCAATGTTCATAATCGTACTGGGCTTACCGCGACCTGATCCGCTCGCTCTGTGTACCTTTGGGGCTCAGAAAGTCACAACGAATGGCATGTATCGACTCCCGCATGCTATCTACTACTGTAGCTAGCCCGTGTCAGACTCGCGACGTGAGCAGTATCGCGTATGTGCAGTTCGCCGAGGGTTTGCACTTTAGTGCTTTTCATTTCTGAGGTGTAGATGCTAAGCTCTCCTGCTTTGGAGTCTCGTGTTCTTCATCCTTCTACTTCCATTTCTCTTCGCTGCTCTTCTCCGCTGCTGCGCGTCCACCATGGACAGAATCCTGGAGCTCTGCAACGCACCAACGTCGGAGTACCGTCCCTTTTTAACCTCTCTTCCTCTTCACACTCTACTATCAGTGAGACAGGAACTATTCCTATCCTCTGCCTGCCACCTATAAAAAGCCTCCCAACTCAGCAAGAATGCCTGGCCTATGCCATATCACATGCCCAAATGCTGGTAGCCACACCCTCATATGCATGCGCGAGGACACAACTCGTTGTGCATAGTATATAATTATACAGCAACAGGAGAAGGCACAATACAGCATTACAGTGCCCTGTTAGTGCGTTGGAATTTTCCAGGCAGCTTGGGATGAGGGGGTGCCTAAAATTCTAAAATTAAGCGTGATGACATGTACGTACGCATATCGCGAGAATACAACCCGGAGTAGTTGCCTCACGCTAACATGTTCGGCAAATATATAAAATCGCATAATAATGTGTGAAGCCACGTTCCTTATCAGAGCTCTGTGTATGGTTGCATCTGCTCACCTTGTAACATTGTAGGATTACCCAGTAAAATACTCAAATTACATGTACATTCCACTGCATTATATGACCACAGTCTCTCCTTTCTTCCACCCCAGGATCTGTTGGGTCTCCAAAAGCTCAAATCAACTGGTCGATTTCCTTTCATCTCTGCTCCATTTTGTTATAGGTTCAATGCTTATACCTCCATACATCAACCAGACTGCCAAGACAATATGTAAGTTTACCTCTCCTACCACTGGTTTGACCGCATAGAACCACCTCAAACCTCCTTGAACTACTCCGTTGCAGAGCTTTAAGGCATGAAGAGCCCTTTCGCATGAGTTCAGGACAATTATTGTGGCAGCATCTATTCTTAAATTTACCGTTAATGCATCATGAACTTCTTTTTTTTGGAGAATCGGTATATACACATAATCACCGAGCATTTTTTTACAACACAGAGAATATGAAACACAGAAATCATGTTATTCACCCACGGCCACATTCGAAGAGCTCCCCTGAGTCGGACTTAACACATGACACTCAGTTAGACAAGACTCTCTCTAGAATGTAATAATTATCATAATTATTATGATGGGAAAATCAATGGTCGATGTGCTTATACAAACGGTGCATATGTGACACAGAGATGTTACCTGTGTGAGCACTTTCCCACCAGGCAGTGGTTATCAAACAAGTAGACTTTGGGATTGTGTATTACTTATACTACGTAGTCCGTGGAAGGGTTTATAATATTATTGTGAGTAGCGTAGGTTGACAAGAAACAGGGACTGTTCCAGTTGTGTTTCTCACTGATGTTCAGTGCTGTGTAAAACACTCAGGTAAGGAAAAGTATTGTATACAGTTAAAGGTGGAAGAATTGCTGCAAGTACTTTCCCTGACTGAGATTCAAACTGTGGATTGTCAGTGTTGTCAGAATGTCTAGAACACGTTTTGTTGGTGTTCTCTTTCAGGATTTGCCATGTTTCTGGCTACTGCAGTGCTTAGTTGGTCTGCAGTACTTACTGTGGTGAGTGGTTCAGACTACTACAGCCGGACCATATACGTGGACTCAGTGAGGGGGAACGATACTAAGAACTGTGTGGAAGAACCTAGCTATGACCAACCCTGCAAGAGCCTCAGTTACGCCTTCCAGCGACAGTACCGCAGTAATTCCACCTGCTACTCCCTCCAACCTGGTACCCACTACTTGGACAGCTCTGTCTCCGAGTGTACATTCACTGGTCTGACTGACATAGCCATCACAGGAAACACTAGCAATACCAGCACCGTGAGGATCCTCTGTTTCACTGAAAACGTGGGACTTAGTTTTGTCAGGGTCAAAAGCATAACATTGGGTAATGTTGTGTTTACAAACTGTTCCGCCAGACAGAACGGCACTAGTAAAAATATTTCTAAAACTAGCAAGTTTGAACTGTTGTTTGTCCAAACAGCTCTGTATTTCTCTGACTGTGAGGACATTAGCATGGAGAGTGTGGTAGTGACAAACAGCCCGAATGGCACTGGTCTCACTGTGTACAATACAGTAGGCAAAAACACTTTCACTCGGTGTGAGTTCACAAACAATTGCGGTCCACTCAACTCGCCATTTTCCGGAGGAGGAGGGGTCTATATAGAGTTCTCCTACTGTATTCCAGGCAAACACTAGCTGCCAGAATGCCACAGAACCATCATACACCAATTCTAACAGTAACTCAGTGTACATTTTCACCGACTGTCATTTCAGAGGCAACTCTGCCACCAGCAGGCCAGACAACATGATTCCAAGTAAACAGAACCACACTTCCTTTGGACTAGGAGGAGGACTGTCAATATTCTTTTGTGGCAATGCCACAGGGAACACTTTCCTGATCAGAAACTGCATTTTTTCTGGAAACAGTGCCAAGGATGGTGGAGGGATGTTTATCGAATTTGCAGATACAAGTGCAAACAATAGTGTTCTGGTCAACGATACTTCCTTACTCAATAACAATTGTGAAATTAGCGGAGGCGGGGTGGAGGAGCCTACACCAGTCATATAATCTTTCCTGGGGACAAAAATGATAGAAAACAGTGTCAGCTTCAAAAACTGTAACATCTCGGGAAACAAAGCTAAGAAGGGAGGAGGACTGAGGATAGTAGCCACCCCACAAAATAACACACCATTCCAGTTCAGTCTGTCAGAGGTCACATTCGTGGTCAATAGAGCAACAGATGGAGGAGGAGCACTGATGGTCCAAACGACGATAGCTCTCCTGGCGAACGATCTCCCAACCTCTTCATTCAAAACTGCAGCTTCCTCAACAACTCTGTAAATACAGATGGGTACAATGGGCCAAAGGAGGTTGGTGTAGGCATCGTGTATATCGAGACAATCGATGTGACATTTCATGGGCTGATAACTTTTAACAAGAACTTTGGTTCTGGCTTGGCTCTTGTTGAAGCAAGAGCTAACTTAACAAACACCAGGATGGATTTCGTCAAAATCATGCAGTTAATGGAGGGGGGTTGACACTGCTGGGATCGGCAAAAATCATCATAAACCGCAACACATTATTGTTGTTTTGATTCAAATCGAGCCTACTCAATGGGAGGTGCCATATTCAACAAGTATACTGAGAGAAACACCTATGGATTCATCACAAACTGTTTTGTTGAGCATGAAGATAAGATATCTGAATCCAGACGAGTGGGGAGCACGCTTCAGATTCATTGACAACTACGATTCAGGAGGCAGACACGCCATTTATTCAACTTCTGTTCTCTCGTGCGGCAGCTCACAGATGCAAGACTTGAGCAGTGTATTCTGTTGGAAGAACTGGACCTATGTGTACAATGGCAGAGAGTCAGACAACTGCTCCGAGTATATACACACTGCCCCTGGTGACATTGTCATCAGGTCCAACACCAGCGATGAAGATAAAGTGTTTGTTGTCCGTGCCTACCCCGGAGAAGTAGCAGAGATCCCGATCTCCATCAGTGACGACCTAAACCACACAACAAAGGCCATCTTCTCTGCAGTTGGGAACGGTACCATGTCTTCACTGGACCCCAAGTATGCCTATGTATCCACTGACGAGATACGTGTGCTGGGCAACCCCAACAGTAGTCTACAGATTGATCTCAACAGCATCGGGGACAGAAATTGGCACGTGAGGTTTCTTGTCAATCTTACAGAGTGTCCGCCTGGACTGATTCTTCTTCCGGCCATTGTGGACCCTAACAACAGGAGCAACTCTTCATTAGAGTTCAGTGAAGGCGGAGAGTGGGAAAAAGGAGAGTTGGGGGGAGAGGCTCAACATGTCTCCAACGGATCAACCTCCGCCTGTGTTTGTGAAGCTCCAAGTGGCACTGTTCAAACTGTCCGGTGCAACACTAACACCGACGCAACTCTCTTGAGCGGATACTGGATGGGGAGGTACATGATTGGTAGGTGGCATGGTTACATCGTGTCTCCCTGTCCTTCGGGATACTGTGCAATTGGTAAGTATGCATACCTCCCTCTTCCCAAAGACCCGCAGAAGCTTGACGGGCACATATGTGGAATGTACAATCGCAAGGGGAGGGTGTGTGGAGAGTGTGTCGACGGCTATGGACCAGCAATCAATTCTGGCAGTTTTGAATGTGTGCTCTGCAATATATCTGGTCACCAGTTGATCCTCCATACCACCTACTATGTTCTGTCCGTGTATCTCCCTCTGTTTCTCATGTTTCTGGCCATCATAGTCTTCAACATCAAACTCACAACTGGACCTGCCAATGCCTTCATCCTGTTCAGTCAGGTCATCTCCAGCACACTCAATATCAATGCTGATAATAGGATCCCTCTTGATTCAATCTCGCCAAACATCGAAAAGTACCTTAACGCCTACAAATTTCCGTACGGAGTCTTCAACCTGCAGTTCTTTGAGCTTTTTGTGCAGAAAAAGTACCTTTGCTTTGGAACCAAACTGAACGCATTGGACCTCCATCTCCTGGAATATCTGGTGGCTTTCTCTCCACTACTGATGATAATAACCATAGTGGGTGTCTACAGGATCACTGGTAGATGTAGGTGGTGCTCTGCCTACCTCTGCAACCGACTCTGCCCTGGCTGCAAGTGTCCTTCAAGTAAGATAAAGATCTGTGAGAACTCACCTGATGGGTTGAGAAAATCAACAGTCCCTGCAATTGCCTCATTCATTTTGCTCTCCTACACAAAGTTCTCCCTCACTTCATCACTTATGGTGACCCCAACTCACCTTTCTACATTATCAGGCAAACGTGGAACACCTATGTACTTCTATTATGCTGGAAACGAAGCATTTGGCGACCCAGAAAACATCCTTCGTTACATTCTCCCTGCCACCTTAGTTTTCGTGACTTTTGTAGCCATTCCTCCTCTCCTCCTACTGGACTACCCACTGAGACTGCTGGAGAGGCTCCTGAGACTAAGTCCTCTGCTGTGGAGGCTCTACCCGTGTGGAAAGATACACATAATGCTCGATGCCTTCCAGGGCTGCTACAAGGACAGGTACCGCTGGTTTGCCGGGCTCTATTTCATCTTCCGTCTCCTGATAAACGTTACCAATGCACTAACCGAAGACTTGAAGCAGTTCTTTATGCAAGGATTCTTTTGCAGCATTTTTGCTCTGCTGGTTTTGATCTGTAGACCATACAGGAAGCAGTTCTACCTCCTGAACTACATTGATGGTTTTATCTTTGTTAACCTGGCAGTGATAAACCAGATAACACTGTATCTGTATGCAGACACACGACGTGGTGCTAATCCATCGGTACTTCTTTTCTCAGTGCAGTACATCTTGGTATTCCTGCCTCTGGTGTACATGGTGGCCTACGTGATGTGGAGACTCCTGCCCATTCCCCGGGTGAGGACCAGAGTCAGGGAGTGGCTGGAGGGGCGACGACAAGCTCACCAGTTGGAGAATCTCATCCGGAACAGGAGGGATAAGGGCTCAGAGACAGCTACCAACGACGACGTGGACTGGGAGAGGGCCAGAGCCATCAACTGCTACAAGCCTTTGAAATGTCCTGAGGGACCACTTAACTCTTCAGTCTCCAGACCTACCAGTGTCACCTGGACTGACTTGCCCACTGCCCCCTATTCCTCTTCCTCCTCCTCCTCAGAGAAGGGAAGGGGCTCTGGTAAACACTATGGGAGTACTGCAATCTGATTCTGGGATTGTGGGCCCCACAGACTAAAATGCAAGTGACTCCACTTCAGAGTACGATTATTGAGAATCCCTTTCAATTGGGCAGTTGTAATTGTATACTTCACCTCTCATAAGGAATCGCAGTAGGATAAGCTTTGTTCTATATACCTGCCGTGATGTGCATGCTACAGAACTGAAAGCACATAATTACAGTGAAAATGCTTGTTTTGTTTTTGCTTGAGCACCTTATACAAAGCGCTGCATATTAAGTATGCGCATGCGCATAGTGCACCCGGTGTCGTCGCGGTCGCGCAGTGCAGATCACGCGCACACTAGTGTGATCCTGGGGTGATTGCGCATGCTTATGGATAAGTTCAAATGTATAATAGATACTAATTGTCTTTGCTTTGAACACAATCTTGATGTTGACGGTAAACCACTGAGAGGTCGCCCTCAACCTGGCAAAAGCTCGAGAAAACGATTGTGGACACCCTTGAAAATATGAGATTAGGACGACGTAGATGAGGGTCGAATAGCGTACTTTTTTTGCGTTTATGGTTTATGCAAAGGATACACAATAGCACATAAAGCTCGTATTAAGTGCACCCTACAACAATTTCTTGGTATTATTATGATTAAAACTGACGTCAGAGAACTGAGACAGGTTATTGCATGTACGCAGTGATTTTACAAGAAATGAAGATTTGCAATTGAAAGTGAGTGTTCTTACAATTATCACAAAACTGCACCTTATTACGAAGTGTGTATATACCCTATACAAGGTATGTACCCTATTTTCAGTAAGTGCACTCATAAAGTCTGTACCCTATTTTAGAAAGTGCGCAAAACTGCACCCTCTATTTTATTACAAAGTATGTGGTTGAGTCTTTGCTATTGTTGCTAGATTGCCCACCATGGGTAGCCAGGAATCAACCCTCGCGACTTCACAACGTACTTGGCTGAGCCAACTGCAGCACCTAGGGACGGTCTACCATCTGATGTAACATTCACCCCTGTACCAGCAAAGGTTGAAAGCCCAGCAGTGTGGCAGCCTTCCTTTGTGACTATATATATAGCTACGTGTTGGATGGACTGGGATAGCAGCCGAAGTCTGGTCCTTCTCTGGTCAAGAGGTCCCACAGTTATGCTAGTTTGCCTACGGCGGCTGCGTTGTCCGCATACCAGATCAGCTTGGAATTGCCCTTAAGTTTGTTGCATATATATGGTGGCGAGAGCATACATGGGCATGGCTAGTGGGTCCCCTTGCGTCATACCCTCTTGGGAGAGTAGAGTGTCACCGTCTACAAACATTTCTGTAGGACGTCGGTATGTGTTGATAAGTAGAGTTGCAAGTGGTGGACATACAGAGCCTTCTGATGTTATGGAGAGCAACCTGACGGTTCAAGGAATTGAATGTGTTAGTGGTATTAACCAGGAGCACTGCTTCGGTGTCACTGGAGTCAAAGGCGGTTCTCACGGCGCGCACTGCAGCTTCGATGCCAGATATCTGTTCCCCAAATATCTGGACACAGCCTGAGGCATCCTGGATGTCAGGTTTCATTACTGACAGCACCACTTTGGCTAAGATCTGCAGGTGCGCAGTATCCCCAATGCCTATATATTGGTCGGACACCAGGGTTCTTGTCTAGGGCAATAAGCCGGCAGGCCAGAAGAGGTGATATAGATTTCGGGTCAACATATGATGTACATACTCATATGAGGCACAAACTCTTCTTGCAAGCAGGGCTAAGGAGTGGCATAGTTCGCTTGATGTACACAGTCTCCTCCACCCATGCGTGTCTATACCAGATGGTCCAGCAGACCCTGTAATGTCAATCTTTGAACTAAAGGTTGGTATAACTCCTTCATCGTTTTTTTTAAAGCTGAAAGTCAGGTCTCGTGGGTGGCATAGCCTGTTCCCTATTTTTTAGATTGCAAGTGCAATCATTATGTCCTTCTCTGACCCTTCTGGGCACAAAGAGGCTCTGGATGATTCAGCACAACCTGCATTCGCTCATTCATGCAGACCCTTACATATCTAGGCCCAGAATTGAGACTGCTTCTACTAGGAATGCGCACGCGCATATTTTGCCTCGCGCCTGCCAGCCAATGCGTAAACAGTCCGACTGAGGCGCACGCTCTACTGACTGTGCGCGAAGTCAGACTTCCCCTACGAATCTGCGCACACGGCGGAAGCTAGACTTGTTATGAATGACGGAAGTTGACATTCCTAAGCGTGACTAATTTACATCCCTAAGCGTGACTAATTGACATTCTTAAGCGTGACCGACACGTACGTACATACGCATATCGTGAGAATACAACCTGGAGTAGTAGTCCCGCGCTAATGCGCTCGCCAACTATAGTTCATGATTGTTATGCAAACTCAATTGAGTGCACGCAGAAATATAATATTTGTAACTGGCACACCCAAATATCAATGAGCTCTAAATGTTAACTTGAGCACCAATAGCGGTGTCTACCCTTGGAGGACTACACAAGTGGCAGAACTGCCTCAGTCCAATTCAGTGGACTTGGGCATTTCCTTCACTGGTGCTTTCTTACCACATGAGCCCTAAATGTTAATTTTGAGCACCTATGTAGTGGTGTTTACCTTCTGCTGTGTGTTCGTAGCTATACACGAGTTACCTTCATATAGGGTATATACTGCATGAAAACAACAACAGTACAAATGACTCTAAAAATGGGGTTAAAAATACTAAACAACTCTTGAGTTCTCTGATGAAATGAGTTACAAAGACTGGGTAGCGGTGACTACTGATGGACTGGTGTAGTTACTCTGCATAAGGAGTGGGGAGAAGGGTCTCTTGGTCTTGTTCCTGGAGGAGGCCACACCCTCTGGCCCAGACAGCTGCCTCCTCTCCTCCTGACCTCTGAAACTGTCTCCAACTGGGAAGAAATCCCACCGCCTCTTCAGGTACATCTCCCATACATATGACTCCTGCAGCATCATATAGCAAGTGACATAAGGTCACTTTACATTGTATTCACCGCGAAGAGGTGCAAGGAGGTGTACGAATATTTAGGATGGCAAAATGACTCTTGCAATGCTTGCAATGGCACATGAGGAGATTCTTTGATGGCGGAGATGGGCCAAGAGGGGCATTCTTCCTCCCTGGCTTAGTCTTGCATGCTCCTGGAACCCCCAAAATGCTGGACACTCAATTATCCATGGACATCAGTTAACAGAAACATTCCTGACACAGCCTTTTTCGTCAGCCCCGTTTTTGGAGCTTCCACGCTTCGCCCTCTTGTCTCCGTTTTCAGTTCTTCGATTCCCCGTTCTGCTTGCACCTAGCTTCCTGTTCCCGTACACGCCCACGTACACATCTACGCGTATAAATTATACGCACGGGCACTTCGACCCTCCCCGATTCGATTTAGCACTGTTGAAACCCCTACACAAGACACACTTCTTGGTAACTAGCAAAATCGTGACTGAAACGTTGCTCCATTCTCCAGATGCACCCAGGCATCAGTATTGCTTACGGTGGCCCTAGCCCTAGCTAGCTTACTGGCTGGCCGTGCAAAGGCTAACGCTTCTTCTTCTTTAGCTGGGCGGGCACGCGCTATTCAGCAGCGGAGGTGAAAGGTTAAGCCGGCGCCGAGCGGCTGACTGAAAGCTGGGCCAACGGAAGTGGGAACTGGAAAGTGGAAATTCAAAACAGGAGCTCTAAGCTAGAACAACAGGAAGCTAGTGGAAACTACAAGCTGGAGGCTGGAAGCTTTTAGTTCGCAAAACAGGAAGCTGAAACTGGAAGCAGAAAAAACGGGAGGCTGGTAAAATGCACTACTGGGCCAACATAGTCCTGTCTGAGCACTGTTTAAAGTCCAAAGTGACCTAAAATTACCCTCACAGTAGCATTGCATGGTAAACATGCTTGTTTTTTCTGACATTTAGTCTGTGTTTCAATATACCCACCTGTCCTGAAAACTCTGACTCTTGTTTTCTAATCAGGTACTGCAGGAAAAACCTGTGGAGGGAAATTCATGTTTCTCACTACTGGTTGTACCGAATGTTCCTCACATGTAGTTGGCAGCATTGTGATCTCGAGTGATGTGATTGTCAAAGCCGTGGGCAACGTGGTCAAACTCTGTCTTTGGAAGACCGCACACAAAGCACTTGTTCTTCATGTCGGATGTGATGCTGTCCTCTTTGTCCCTCAGCTCTCCAAATGCATCAATAATCAGACCTACATGTACCACAACATGAACTGCAGAGTGTCGTGGGTTCGAATCCCACCCAGGGCAGCTCTTCTTCCTTGGAAAAAATGGAGCTGTCCTGGGTGTAGTTGATTTGTTTGCCTTTGCCTTGCTCCCTCACTTCGTTTGTTGACACATGAACACATAAACAAAAGGACAATAACTATTGCACACTGCTGTGTACTTTAACTCTAACAGTAGTTTCTGTGTGCATGGATACCTTGACTGCATTCCGCCATCACAAGTTACTACGGAGGGCGAATGTTGAGTCTAGCGATGCCTAGACTATAGCTAGCCAGTGTCAGAGTCTCACAGAGTGTAGTGTATATAACCCAGCCAATCAATTAGCGGTTCTGACCTACACATGGTTAATGGTACAGTGCTTATGCACTTTAGTTAAATGCTGTGGCGAGAGCGTGGAAAGTTTAATGAACTGCACAAACCCTGTATGTGTACATAGAATGGAAAAGTGTAATAAACTGTACAGACCTTGTATGATGGCCAGGAGGATAACGATAACAAAGAAGAAGAAGGTGACATCAAAGAGGAGGCGGAGGATCTCGTCTGGCTCTCCAGAGGCAGACTTGAGAACATCTCCTATCCCTCCTCCAGCCCTCAACCCTTTGTCTATGTGGTATATGAAACACTGCAGGAGGGAGGGAGGGAGGGCAGGAAAAACATGACTTTCACACATACAGTGATATCGTAACCGTCTTTCTAACTACACTGCAACAAAAACTTTGTTGTTGGCTAACGTGTCAGTGTGGAGGACACATACACATGTGCCTATAACAAACAATGGTAAAAGACAAAGACCAACACCACCACTGTTTCCCTGGCATCGGTTGTTCAGGTGACCTTTCTGTTTACACATACGACTAGGCGCTATTCTAATGGCATTTCTGCTTCTTACACAAGAAGGCTCCTTCTGTTCCTTTCACCTGAAACTAGCTAAAAACCCTATATACACGCTCCAAAATTCCGTCTGTCCCTACCATTTACATGCACTGTGTACCTTTGCCATATTGTCACAAGCGTAGACAGGCTCCCCATTAGTGTGGCTCTGTTGGACATAGAACTTTCTGAAGTAGTTGAAGGCAATCACAGTGTAGAGGTAGATGACAACACATGTCATGAGGACTGTCATCAGCAACTGCACATGTGAATTAGAGAAGAGGGCGAGAGAGAAGAGGGATGAAGACTCCGTGCTTTAGTTCCAAGACAAGAGGGTATTGATGTTGCAGTAAATTGCACAACTACATCATTATGTGGCAGACCTCTTACCTTCAGCAGCATCTCAACATTAGAACAAGGTCTGGCTACGGTCAGGATGAAGGGAACTCTGAATGTAATGTTGAAAGCATAAGGTACTGACAAAGTTCAAGCCACACTCAGAGGCTGTAAACATGCTCAACTGTGTTTTCTGAACTTCCAGAAATCCGTGGGTCCACAGTCTACATCCTAAACCTATATGAGCCACAAAGCTCACCCTGGCAGAGGGGTCTGCTACTACAAGTTCTTCACCTGTTTCCCATTGTGGAGCACAGAGTAGAGGACAGTTCTGAGCAGCTTGAAGTTCATGACAAGGTCCAGCAGATGTATGGAGAAGTAAAACGAGTTGGATCTGAGACCAAGGAAACTGAGGCCGCAGTAGAATATGTGGTAGAGAACCATATACAGGTTGGGGTCAAAAATAGATAACTAAACACACTTCATATGATGTAGAGCACAAATGGGGGACTAATAAAGCATTGCACACCTATGAGCCATGTAGCAATGGAGGATGAGGTAATTTGGCTTATGCATGGCTCCATGCCTGTGTGCGAGTCAAGCATTCTCCCATGCAAAGCACTGTGTTTCAATTCCCATTGCAAAGACACTGGGAACTAAAGGGAATGGCCAACAACTTACTATGTGGATATCTGTTTTTTAAAATTCCCTACTGGACCTTCTTTTCCCCACTCATCCACATACCATGTCACTGAGAACGGTCCCCACCATCCACACAAAGTAGCGGAGGTCACCGAGAGAGTTGACTGTCGCGGAAACATTGCCCCACTTTGAACGGGTCTCAAAAGGGCACTGAGTTCCCATCCCAAGTTGGCGGGTCACGAGGTCACGACTGGCTCCTTCAAACTGTGAGCGAACCTAGAAACACACAGAAACACAATGTGCCGTGTGTCCTCTAAAGTAACACACATTCAGGTTATATATACTGTAAAAATCAGAATTGAGTATCTCTTGGGCAGGTGAAGTTTATTACAAAGAGAGAGAGACTTACTCTGTCCTTCACTTGCTTGTCCCAGTAGTTACGGGGAAAAGAGGGAGCTGAAATTACAGTACTGTCCCACATATCACAGAGCCACGCCCACCAATCTGCCATGCCCCACTCCCAGACGTTTCCTATCCCTGGAGACCACCCGGGTCGAGAGCCCAGCCAGGTATGCTTGGTTTCGAGGCGACGGGCAATCTCTTTCTCCCGTTTGAATATGATGAGGGGAACCTGCAAAACAACAATTTTCGTAGTTTGACAAATTTTGCCCTCGCGATTACCTACTTAATCCTTCAACTTTATACTTTTATCAAAAAAGTAATAATTCAGCAACTCACACAAATGCATTCAATACATAACATGTTATAAATGTACTAATGTCACTTAATTCGTTTGTCTCTGTATGGTTGAATATACAGTAATAAGTTCCAAAAACTCAACAAAAGAAAGAAGTTCAAAAAGGCTTTAAACTCTCATATCCATCTCTGTGGAAAAAGCGGTATTTCCAACACTGGAGTACGGCATTCTTTAATACAGGTGTTTGCCACACCTTAGAGGGTGTTACCCAATACAAGAAATATACAGCGATATAGGAACACCAAACCACCAACAAAGCAATACTTGCTGGAGTGTAAGAGTGGGTTTTGATACTTAACCCATCAATCAGCACTGGTAATACAAAAATAAAAGTGAGGGATAAGAATAGAAGAAATAAGGTAGTGGTAATGTTATTAACACTCCCCTTGAAAGGTTTTACAATAGCTGTAACAACTGTGAATATGAGAATAATGGCAGTAGGATAACCGTAGCTTTTGGTTTCATACGTAAACACCAAACTGCAGTATACCAATAGCCTGAGGAGAAGGTAAAGTGCAGAGAGAGAGCGAAAGTCCCGAGTGCCGTTTGTACCATTCTTGTAATGTCCCTGGAAGGAGTCCATGAAGATGTGTAGGGACTGGCAGCTGAGGCCTGTGCGGTTGAGACAGACCTGGAAACAGGAGCAGGGGTAGAGGAACAGGAGGGCCATTGGCAGCAGTGTGAAGGTGAGGAGAAAGAAGAGGGCCAGGCAGGCATAGGGCAGGTGCTGGCTGCTGAAGTAGGCCACATCTCCCTGGTTGAAGAGATACAGCTGAGGCAGTTGTTGTCCGTTCTGGTCATATAGAGTTACAGGCAAGAGCAGGTCCACAGACACACTGAGGATCTTGACATAGGAGAGGAGGAGGAAAGTGGCAAAGGCATCTACTAGTGAGCTCCTGATGTTCCACTGTCTGCGAAACTTGATGAAGAGGGACACAAAGGGTTTGCAGAGCCAGACACAATGATGAACGTTGTGATCATACAGCAGGACACCGAGGTAGGAGAGGCCAATCAGTAGGAGAGGGTAGACAGCAATAAGGTAGTCTAGAGCCAAGACTTGGAGGGTGTTGGTGTGAGGATGGAGACAGAATGGAGGGTAGACAAACCGGAAGAAATCCAAGTTCCATATTCCAATAAAGGATGTAGTTACCTTTATCGATACAATATGGTTTTGTATGTGATTTGCACCTTCATCCCACACACGATGGTACATGTCTTGCAAAAGTCTTGCATTAAGAGGGCACATGATAATTTGTATGCATAAAACAAGTCCATGAAGCATAGGTGAAGTGGCACTGATTCTAAAGGCGACTACAAAGACAAAGAAGGCAGTTAGTGGGAGAAGAGAGACTGCAGTGTACTTGCCCCAGTTGCTAGTGGTACAGTTGACACAGGAGAGAGAGTAGGAATAGACTGGGTGGGGCATAGCCTGGCTTACATTGACCACACATCTGACCTTGTCTGTTGTGCGACCCACACATTACTTCATTGGTGTTGTTTGGTTCAACAACAAAGGTGACACCATTGTATTTTCTTGTACAAGTGAATTGACAAGGACCAAACAGAAATCGACTCTGGCTACATGTTATACAGTAGCATTTGTGCAGTCGGAGCTCATAGGGATCATCTCTGCACTGGATGACATCATCAAAAGTTTTAATGGGGCAGACGCAGGTTCCGGTAAAATTGATTTGCCAAGGAGGACAGGGATCATTCCCACAGCCTCTGAACACACTATCACCGCTAGGTACTATTAACTGACTCGACTCAGCCACAGACAAAAGGAGTGTGACAATAAGCCACATGATTCTAGGCTCTATCAGTAAGTTACTGACAGATACTGCGCAGCGAGCTCAGAGTATACATTCTTAGTGGGGATCCGTGGTTTCATTTGTCAAACAAAATCTCACAAAAGCAAACAGTCTCAAAAGCAACAACACACTGCTCGTAGTAAACTTACACATCACATGCGCCACACAACGAAAGAGGGAATCCAGCATTAAACTTCAATATTGCAACTTTTGAGAATGAGATCTTTCTTGCTCTACTTTATAAATCTCTCCTCCCAGGCCAAGGTCTTTCACAGCATGTGTATGAACTGGAGTAATATTATTGTAAACTCTTATGTGGGTTTATTACCAAAGTACAAGACCTTCAAATCCTACTGTATGAAAGCAGGGCATTTTTGGCGAGTGGAAGCAAAGACACAATGACTGTATCTGCATAGCCTATTTACCACTTGCACTTTGGAACCACAAGAGGTACAGCCTCAGTCAGACACTGAAGAATGCCGCCGAATGGCCGAAAGTTCTCTGGCTGGCTAGATCATGCACAGAGGATCTAGGCAGTGTGTAAAAATCATTTCGGATAGAAAGAAGTGCAAAATTCAAACGATGCACTTAGACAACGAACGGTGATATGTATAGAAAATCGCACAGTTCGGACCACTAGGTTAGCTTGCTCCCACTCGCCAATAATTATAGCTTGTTATTTTTAACACATCAGGATTTAGGAGTGTGTTGATGGTGCACACCGAACACGTGTTACTAAAAGCAACACACCCTGATAACATCTTTGTATGTCACAGAAACAATAACAAAACATCTTGAAAATCACACAACGCTTGGTTTCAATAACACATGGGTTATTATGACATACTGATGTGTAACAATAGCACGATATGTGCACCACACAAGCTCTTATAAGTGCTCTCATTCCTTTCTTAAGCAAAGAACACATTATTTATTAACCCTCGGCATGCATCCGTTTGTCACCAGCTGTTTGGGTGATATGGATCCAGTAGAGCGTTACTCCAAACACTACCCACTGGTCCAGCTAGTCTGTGTTTTAAAACAAGAAACTGACTCCGCTGACGGCGTGGCGTGGCCCATCCCAACAATTATGTATGTGCAGCGTACACATCGACGCTCGCGTACGTGTTCCTAGAGCCGAGGGTTTTCACTTTAGTGCTTTTCATTTATACAATGCTTGGTTAGTATAAAGCATCAAACTATTGCAAATGTGTACTTTTTAGCACGTGTCAACAACAAGGTGAGGTAGAAAGGCAAAGGCAAAGCAAGTCGTGGGTGGGATTTGAACCCATGACAGTCTGCAGTCAAGGCGAGCTCTCTACCAACCGAGCAACCAGGGCAACTCAGCTGGTAGGGGTAGTCTACAACGCTCTACACAAGACACTCTAACTCAGCATGTAGGAGCAGACCGGGATAATTAAACCACCAAAGACGCCCTACTCCAAACGAATATATTATGCATAATGTCAAAAGGCAAAGAAAACACCTAAACTACATGCATACACATGCACGATTTGTATGCTTCAGTTTACATAAACAGACTGGTTTGTTGGCAATATATAATCATGTATGATTAAAGAACTGTTTGCATGTAAAATTCAATGCTTCATTTTGCTAAACATTGACACAGACTGTAATTACGACTTCGTTTTACTTTATATAGTGCTTTTCACCTTTTTGTAAGGCAAAACATTTCATTTCACACTAGGCTCGCAAATCGCAAAATATTTATACCACGCGAAACCTCTTGCGGTGCTGATTTGAATGGTACCTAATACGCAAGCAAAACTTTACCGGAAATGAATTTAATTGACCGCAACATTGTGGACATTTATGGCTTGGTGCACTATTCTAAAGTTATGAAGTGAACAAGCCAATACGCATTTTTTCTTTTCTTTTTTTGGGAAACTACAATGTAATTATAAATACAATTCAGGGCAGTAAAAGAGGAAATATTAAATGTTTGCAAACAGCTGTTTTATATCCCGAGCGTCATTTGTACAAATCCCTTCCGGATTATACATACCCCGGACTGGATATAGCATATCCTGCACTGGATATAAGTCCTGCTAGTGTTCTACAAACCTCAACAAAAAGCATCTTCTCATGTCCTGAGAATACTTGAAACGTCACACATTGGAGAAGTACGTCACGAACTCGAAAAACTGACGCGCATGCGTGCAAGCGACGACTAACCTTTGAGCTTTTGAGGTGCACAGCACGTGTTTGCAGCAGGACTGCTTCTGCTCCTGCACAGAGGTGCAGCCGTTCTGTTCACATGCTATGCCATTAGTGGTTGTTGGACTATTTCCTGCCATGTCTAACCCGCCCACGTCCGGGTAGATGGCACAAGTAAGGTGGATCCAATCAGTCGTCCGGGTAGATGGCACAAGTAAGGTGGATCCAATCAGTCTTAAGCGCCCATAAGCCCACTCGTCCTAATGCGAATTGAGGCACCTGTAGGTAACAAAGGGAGCTGAGGGAGCACTAGTAACACTGGTAGCTGAGGGAGCACTGGTAGCAGAGGGAGCACTGGTAGCAGAGGGAGCACTAGTAGCAGAGGTAGCTGATGGAGCACTGGTAGCAGAGGCAGCACTAGTAGCACTGGTAGCTGAGGGAGCACTGGTAGCAGAGGGAGCACTAGTAACACTGGTAGCTGAGGGAGCACTGGTAGCAGAGGGAGCACTGGTAGCAGAGGGAGCACTAGTAGCAGAGGTAGCTAAGGGAGCACTAGTAGCAGATGGAGCACTGGTACCAGAGGGAGCACTGGTAGCTGAGGGAGCACTGGTAGCGGAGGTAGCTGAGGGAGCAGTGGTAGTCGAGGGAGCACAAGTAGAAGATGGAGCACTAGTAGCAGAGGGAGCACTAGTAACACTGGTAGCTAAGGGAGCACTAGTAGCACTGGTAGCTGAGGGAGCACTGGTAGCGGAGGTAGCTGAGGGAGCACTGGTACCAGAGGGAGCACTAGTAACACTGGTAGCTAAGGGAGCACTAGTAGCACTGGTAGCTGAGGGAGCACTGGTAGCGGAGGTAGCTGAGGGAGCAGTGGTAGTCGAGGGAGCA